GAGTGAAAATACAGAGGGGAACATACGATGTGAAGGGAGGCGTCTTGAGGGAGGGAAGATACAGAGGGGAAATACTATGTGAATAGAATGAGGAAAAACTTAAGGTTACATGAATAATAATACTTTCTCACTACTACCTGGGAAATCTCCGTGGGAAATCGTTTTCATAATTATAAGAAAAATTTAAAAATTTAAAAATATCCGTTCACACTGAGTCTATGGGATTATGTAAAAAAAAAAAAAATTATTTATTGTTTAAGTTCCTACTGTCTTCACTGGAATTTTTTTTTCAGTTTTGATATAATTATATTTTTAATGACTTTTCCCACAGAATTAGAGGGAACAAAGTTATGCGCATTTTTGCGCCAAAATGTTCCCATGAATAGTCACTGGCAAATGTTATTGTTTTTTTAGGAAAAGAAATTTTAATTTTCCCATTGTATTTCTGTGGGAATTACCACTTCCGTGGAAAAATGATGTGTTTCTAGTAGTGTCGAAACCTCTAAATCCTGGATCCGCCTTTGAATTCTATCTTCCTCTAATATGAAGTGGTACTTTGTTTCAAACTCCACACCAGAATTTTAGTTTAAAAGTTAAAAGTTATTTTTTAGTACTTCGTTCAGTTCACCTGATTAGAGAAAGCTATTTTGAGCAACCTTAAGCAAGGAGCTTTTCCCATCATGGATTGCATATCAAAGCTGAAAAGATTCTGCCTCTACTTTGTTCCTTGAACAGTAAGCAAGGGGCTTCCTCTCTCTTATCTTTATTTGCACGCAAAATTTTATCTGGAAGAGAACTGTTAGAAACTTAGTTGCTACAGATTTCGAAGGGGAATATCTACACGTTGCTACAACAGAAAATCCATAACCACTATAGTTCTTGCTATTTTTCTTTTTTTCTTTTGTTTTTTGGTGCCTATTTTCCTGTCCAAATTTATCTTTTTCTCCTTTGAATTTTTTGTTATTACAGAGTTATGGACTGCATTAATCAAATCAGAAATATTGTTAACATGTATGTCTGGGTTGAGAAACATTTGTTTGTTCAATCCTGATTATGGATTCAAGTCTTTCTTTTAAATCTTATATTAAATGAATTTTCAAATATCTTGATTGACTTCTATCATGCCTTGTTGGTATGATAGAGCAACCAAAGCGACAGAGAGATATACCAAGAGCATTGTCTATTAAGAGATATTATATAAGATATAACATAACATAATTACACATGCTATAAAACTAAACTAATTAATTTCTCATGTTTGAAGGTACATTACTTATCCTATTATTTCGAACTCACCTATTACATCAATGTAATAACACTCATTTTCCCATCTAAATGAATGTTGTATCTATTTGAACGTCAATGGTTATTATACATAATTTGTTTCTAATATAAACAATTATGGTATTAATAGATCCAGTTAATTAACACGTGCAACGCACATATTCTAAAACTAGTATTTAGAATAAACGAAGGTAAAGTATTATGTACCGCTCTTACACATATCAGTTAGTTCGGATTAATAAACATGTATGGTCTTCTCCTAGGTGAAATTATAATGATTTTGCTGGTTATTGCAATGAATTTATGTTGTATCGTTAGCATTATTGAATTTCAATGCAAAAACATTGAAAAAGCAGTTACTCCCTCAGTTCACTTTTACCTGTCCACAATGAACTTTGCACTCCTTTTAAGAAATAATAGATGAAAGTACATATTTTACCATAGAATCCATAATAATGATAGTATTTTGAGAAGTCTTGGAAAATGATTTATGAAATGAGTAATTAAATGATAAGGATAAAACAAGAAAGTATGTATGGTTTTCTTTTGATTTGGTAAATTTGACAAGTAAAAGTAAAAATATATAGTGGACAAGTAAAAGTGAACTGGGAGAGCAAAACCTTTACGTACATTATTGAAACTATATATAGCAGGAGGAGCAAAACCTTTTCGTATCCGATACCTTGAATCATATCGGGTTAGGAATAATTGCAAAAAGGAAATGTTATGACTGATACAACCTTTGGTTCAATATGAACATGAACGCCAGATGCACAAATAACTTTGGAGTGAAGAGGTGTACGTGATCCATTTTCTTTTTAGCAATAAAAAATTACCACCTATTTGAACTTGAGAGAAGCTAAATATACAGGACAAATCTTTTGGGACAACGATTGAAATATGGCATGGAAGACAATGAATGCGACAATTCGAACTCCAAAACAAATGGTGCACAATCAAATGAAAATTAAAGGGGGCATTCCTTGCGTTGAATATAGAAAGAGAAAAATACAGCAGGAGAATTGCCGGGCAAATCTCCTTTGGCAGAGGGCACACTTAGAAGAACACGTAAAACTATAATTGCAATTTGCATGCCTTTAGTTAGCTGCCTGCCAATGGAGTTTTTGCCCTGTAATGAACCTACAGCTAAAACCAGAATTCTACACACACATAATCAGTTCAGTGGTGAATTCTATTTATAAGGTCAAGAACTCAGGATATGCCTTCAACACAGCAGCATATTCAATGAGAATATTGCCCTTTCTTCACTGAATGAAGCTATCTTCTAGTTTACTTACCTCCAAGGCCATATTCCCAAAACTTAGTTTTAAAATTATGTAAAAAGGAAGAAAGAGCAAAGAAAGAACAATTTGCAGTTCTGTGCTTTATTCTACATATCTAGAAGGTTTTGAACTACTCTTTCATGCAGAAAATATTCTACAACAACTTTCGGAAAAAGAGAAAATGTGTCAACGTTTACATAATGTAGCATAGCATTATTATAAAGGTAACGAAAATCCCTAAAGGGAAAACTTTTTAAAAATATTATAACAAAACTAACAAACAGTTACCACAAAAAAACATAACTAACAAACAGAAGAAACTTGAACGCTAAGTGAGTGAAAGACGGAAAGAGTGCAATGAGTTAGGATATTCTGAAGCATGTTCTCAATGGGGAGAAAACTTTATTTCTATGGCTTTAACTTTTTACAAGTGGAAAGGAAAAGGTGACTTTAGTACGCGGAAGCTTGGGATCGAAAGCATATTTTTATTGCTTGAAAGAGAAATACATAAGACGAATTAAACACGTATGAATTATTTAATATTTATAAAATGTCATATTTATGGAAGTTTTGTTGAGGGTGAACACTTAAGAAGACAGCCAATTTGATCTATCTAATGTTAAGGGAAAAATTAATATATGAAACCCCATCTAAGTATGCCTTTGTGACGCTATTTCGATGTGGTATGCAAGATTTAGAATAGGAGTTGGAAAAGTTTTAAGAATGGATCCGCAAATCAAAGTAGAAAATAATTTTGTTACTTTTTAAAATAATTTCCACTTGTACTTGTTGATCACACAAGTTACGCTACAAGAAAAGTAAGATACGACGATATTTATTTAGTGACATTTAAAATAAATATCGGAAAAACGGGAATTTCATGACATTTATAAGAAAAAGTTACAAAAATAAGGACATTTAATACAAAATGTCACAACTATAGTGACATTTATTTCAAATGTCACGTTATTTGTCCAAAATTAGCAACATTTAAAACTAACGTTAGGAATTTCTCTATATTTTTTTGATAATCGAACGAAAATTTTAGCATTTTATCTTTCCCTCCCATTTTTTCCACAACAATCCCATTTAGACATAATGAATTAAGCAAAAAGCCCTTATCTGTGGAAGTTTAGGAACGTCGCCGGCCTGTCTAACTTAACCCTCTCTCACCATCACCGGTAATCATCCCAGGCAACCCAACTCATATGTCTCTCTCTCTCTCTAAGAATTGTGTTTTGATTTTAGTCGGAGATCTACGTTTCTATGAAGGATTTCCACCCTTGTAAGTTTCTATCTTTATTTAATAAGATTCAAAAACAAGATTTTCGAGTATCGTCGTTCCTATTTGGCGGTCTTGTTTTGAAAATTTTGCCAATTAATATTTCTTCAATTTTTAGTTTTGGGTGGAGCATTAGGGTTTTCTTTGCAAAGCAGTAATCAGCATTTTTTTCACCTCTATGCTTGTGAACTGATTCTATATGCAGGACAATTTTAGGAACTACTATCATTTCTGCTCAACTCTATTTCCCATGTTAATTTAGTTTTGGCAAAATGGTCCCCGGGCCACTTAAACTTGTACTCAATTGTCAATCCGGCACAGAAACTTTGTGTTTTTCCATTTGACCACCCCAACTCAACTATTCCCACATCAATAGATACCTTTGACCGTTGACTATGCTTATGTGGCAATATCATATGTGATATGGCAATGCTGTGTGTAATTCACGCAAATTAGGACCGTGAATTCAGTTTTTTTATGTAAAAAAAAAATATTAAAACATAAATAGAATTAAAAATAAAAAGATAAGACAAAAAGTAAAAGAAAGAAAAAGAAAAATCATGTGAGTTCCACCTTGTTCTTCCCATCCCCCACCTCCCCTTCCCACGTTTGTTCTTCTTTTCCAGAATTCTCGTCCCCCCTTTTCCCCTTCCCTTTCATCTTCCTCTCCCTAACTAATTCTCTTCCAACTTTCCTGTTCTTTCCCCCTTCCTCTCCCCTCTTCTTTTCTTCTCAATAAGTCAAGTATTGAGATTATTTTTCACTAAATGCAATGCAAATGTTACACCACGTGCGTCTCAAGGTGACGTAATGAATATGAGACTTGTTAATCATGATTTAAATAATTTCAAAGTCATAATATGGCTATATATGATGTTTGGATAGAAAATATGAAGTTTGGGAAAAATCGGATTACAGTTGCGTAAAAACAGACTAAGGATTTGCCTTGTAATAGAGTTTTTTGAGAAATAAATTTTGTATATTATATGAGATCTTTTAAGGACATATTATATACCAAATTGAAGGTCTTGGAATGTAGTTTCCA